AGGATTTTTAATCTTTTCCAATATGAGTAGTTCGATGTTCTATTCATTTTGCTCCACACCCCGCTCAGGACCAAAGGCAATTTATATTAAAAAAGAAAGAGTAAACCTCACTTACCTGCATATAGGGCTTAAGGACCCATGGCTCTGCGGAATGGGTAAATGTTAAGATAAAAGCGCATCTGAGACTACCCCAGGTCTCCTTTGGTATTTCCTAGGCAGGCCCAATTCCTTATCTCACCTCCACAACTAGGAGGAAATGGACCTGCAAAGGTAGAAGGAAGGCTCTACTTCTTCACGTTGATACTCCTGTGCACTTCATGACCAACTGTTCTCCAATGGTCTGTCTGTGGAAGGGATACAGTTCCTGCTGCCTGTCTTCCCAGACACTCACAGGATCGCGCTCCCATGGGTGCTTGCCACGCACGAGTCAGCCCTATTGTGTCTGTGTTCCTCTTGACGTCTTTTCCTAAAGCTCTGAGCGCCTTTTCCAGTCCACCCCAGGGCCTGCAGGAACTGACTGACTGAAAAGCACAGAAGGATGTGGCACTGCCTATCCTTCTACCTGGGGATCTCCAGCAGCTCGATGCTGGGCTTTATTTATTCAGTCCCCGCAGAACACTATGGGTTATCTGAAAATCGCATTGAGGGACCACTTAAGACCCACGGTATCAAGAACTTAGATCTTACACCAACCACATGTACAATCTCTCCTGGAACGTCTCACTTTATTCTGGCCAAATGTGTCAGTGGGTACGGAGGCTAGAATCTTAGTACGCCTGAAAATTGTGCTATTTATAGTTTTTCTTTCTGTAAGCACAGCAGAAGGAAGAAAGACATAGAACACTGTAACATCGCACCGATCCATACCCATTCTGTAGCTTTATATGGTCTGAAAAAGTTTTATTTTCAAAACAAGGCTTAAACCCAATTGTGGATCCAAGCAAACGGAAAAGAAAGGGATCATTCAGGTTTTATCCGAGATTTCCAAATCATGATATGGGTGAGAATTGAATTCCTTAGTGAGGAGTTGAGACAGCTTGGCGCTAGGATACACAGGCACAAATAGGTCTCAGTGCGCCAAGACAGGGAGATTGACAAGATGAGGCCAGGCTTCGTGTTGCAAGGAAGCAGGGAGGGAAGATGCACGGGGAGAATGGGCCTTGGAAGTCCATCAGGAGGTACTTTTGTAAATACACTAAAGACCTAACTTAATGGGAACAATAAGAAACGGGTAGGAAAAAAAAACAAAAACCTTTGCTTCTGCTTCTGTCAAACCAAATGGCACCGTAGTATGTTTGTGCGCTACAATAGAAAAGGGGGCGATTCTTATCTGGTGCCTTAAGACAACACTTAAGACCTTTTTATAGTAGTGGAGCAAGCCAATGTTATTTTTAATTTCTTTTGAATATAGCATACTTTGGAATTGTCATGAGTGAATATTCCTTACATATTCTACAAGCAACTATACTGTGCTACTGGCAAGAGATTTTTACTTAACATGGATATCAAAAGCATCACTTTTCTTAGCAATTACGATGAATAGAAATATGAATCAACATTTTCTAGTTCTCTCAATGCCTGTGTGGTTCTGGTTACAAAGATCCTAAAATTCATCTTCCCTACACTTGACCTGAAATAGAAAATTCATAATTGCCTTCAGACTGGGTGATTTCATTTTGACACATTCTTTCTTTTCTAAAGTAAGGAATACCTAAAGTACAGAAAAAGAGTAAAACCAAAATCAGATTGATATTTTCAAAAGTTCTCTAGCCTCCTAAAGATGTAGGGTAAAAAAAGAAATCCAGATAACTTGTATTCAAACTCGAGGTTAGTGACATGGCACTTTAATCGAGCTAACTATTTCTGAAGAATTAATGAAACTGATGAAAAAAAAGAGGAAATGAGGTGACAGAATGGCTTGAGAATCATTTGGGACCTGTCAGTGATTTTTTCCTGTACTAGAAGGTATTAGTGATTGGCCTTGACAGGCACTTTCAGTTGTGACTCATACTCTTTTGTAGCCACAGCCAGGGTGGGGCGGGTTGGGGAAGCAAAATGGTGTGTGTGACTATCCAATCAAAACAAAAAGGCTCTCATGTCTTTCAAAGAGTAGTAGTAACAGGATCAGTGCTTTGCAATAGAGAAGGTAAGAGCTATGATCTTGGAAATTCACTCTGCCACTGTCATTTGAAAGTATAGAGCTAAACTTGGTGGTGTTCGTATCCAATAAATGTTCCTCCAAACTGTCAGATTTTGTAAGCATTAAAGAAAATGTCTGTAAGACATGCACACATACACACAAAAAAAAACGGTACACAATAAAATGTTTACAGAGAAACAAAAAATTTAGGATCAGTCAAGGGAGAAAGAATTTTCAACACAACCATGGAAATAGAAATTACAAAACATTCATGAGCCTGGACACATCTCAGGCATTCCTGGATGCAGACATGTAACTTACAGATGACAGGGCATTCTTCAGACCAATGACCTGAGCAGATGGGGAGGAGGAGGCATCCTGCTCCATCAGCTGCTTCAGTTTCTCTCTCTCCGCTGACATGATATTAAAAGCTGACCTTAAAGTGAAGTAAACTATAGAGATATAATCATTATAAAAAGGAATAAGGAGGCATAATTAAAAACAAAATACCGTAAAAAAACTATCTCTTATAAAAGAAATAAGCAAAGTAACAGCCCTGAATATTTTGAGTGTAGCAAATGCACACTCTACCTTGACTTTTGAAAAACACATTTGCCATGTAAAACACTCTAATGTAAACTAAGGCCTCTGGATGATGATGTGTCCACGTAGGTTCATCGACCGTAAGAGATGCAGTACTCTGGTGTGGGATGCTGATGGCAGGGGCACTGTGCCTACATGGGAGCAGGGGGCTTATAAAGACTATGCACTTTTGGTTCAATTTTGCTGTGGACCTAAAATTGCTCGAAAAAAATTAAGTCTATTAAAACTAACTCCCATTCACACACATCTGGCAATTCTAAGGCCCCTATCCACTATAACGTCTCATGACTTTATGACTTATCATTAGGATATTTTGACATTTGGACTTTGCTTCTGGATCCTCAATGATCTGTGTTTTGTTTTGTTTGTATCCCCAAAGACTGGAAAGGGTTAAAAACAAAGCTTATTGGTTTTTCAGGGGAAATGTTAACACTGCAGCAGAAAAATTAGCACCTTAATCAGGTGATTAATATTAACTATCGGTGAGACTCAGGTAGACCATGTGCCTCCAGGTAAAGTACGCTGAAAAAGATACAACATCTCCTTTGGTGCATACCAGCCAGGGCTATGTAATCCGAATTTGATCATGAGGAAACATCAGACAACCCCAGAATGAGAAGTGTTTTATTTTTAAAAGTTGGCCTATACTATTCAGAAGTGTCAATTTTATGAAACAGAAAGAAAGGCTGAGGAACTGTTCCCAATTAAAGGAGGCAAAAGAGGAATGACAATGAAATTGACTCAAGGGGCAACATGATACTAGGGGCAACATGATACTAAAGGCATTATTGGGATAACTGACAGCATTTGAATATGGAAGGTAGAATAGATAAAATTGTTTCAATGCTGTATTTCCCGAATTTGATTACTATACTGTGGTTATATAACAGAGTATTCCTATTTTATACACTACAGTATAAAGCCATGAAGAACAACGTGGTGTATGAATCCTACTCTCAAATGGTTCCGAAAAGTGAAAGTGTGTATGTAGAGAGAGTGATAAAATAAATGTGGCAAATATTTAAAATGAAGTATTTGGGTAAAGGGTATACAGAAGTTCTCTGTATAATTCTTGCAACTTTTCTATAAGTTTGTCATTGTTTCAAAACAAGGTCTTATTGTCTACCTTCTTGCTTGTTAGCCCTTCCAGCTACAGAAGCCAAAATCCCCCAGCTCTAACCCTGGCATTCAGCTACTCTGTTCCTGAGTGAGCACTCAGGTACAATGAGGGCTTAGCCACTATGGCCTCCAATGCCTGAACTGAAGTTTTAAAAAACATTAACACATACAGCAAAAAAAAAAAAAAAAAAAATCATTATTCATTAGGTTTTGATCACATCATGTACAAATTACTTCCTAGGGATGGGGAAGCTGTTATCTAAATTACTGATCGTGGCTATCACATTTCAATATTATCTTTCCAATCTCCTTGATTATATTTTGTTTTAGAAGAGCAGGAAGACGGAAGAGACTCAGACACATGTCTTCTCAAATGACCTAGCACATTACTGAATTCCACAGGGCTGCATTTTTAGAAGTATTGTTATTCAAGAGTGGCCTATTTAGTAACACAGAAACTAAATAGGCATTATTGACTTACTTCATTTAATAGCAAAGAGGACAACTAAACCTCTCTATACGTTGTTGCTGAACTTGCCTGAGGTTGTGGCATTTAGTGATGGACATGAAACATCTTAACAAAGTCACAATTTGTGTACACACACACACACACACAATGGTGCTGCCTCTGCCAAGAGAAGATGCGGGTCAAATGGAACTAAAATTTTCTAACAATGCCTATGAAACACACTTAGCTCTTTGCTTTAAACAATTTAATTGAGCAAAATAATAGGCAGGACAACAGAGTGACCAAAAGCTGGGGCTCCACCATCAGCCCTGGATTCTTCCCTACTCCATCATCTATTCACTGCGTGACCTTGGATGAGTAAATGATGTGCCTGAACTCCAGTTTCCACATTTGTAAATGGGGATAACAATAACTTTTACTTTAAATGGTTGTCATGAGGATTGAATGAGAGAGAGAATGCAGGTAAAGCACATAACACAATACATGGTATGTAATAAATAACAAGTGTTACTGCAATAATCATAGTGATACCAATGAAGGAGACACATGAGGATGAAAGTGATGGTGACTGCAGTCTCTTGAAATGTTGGCAGCAGCTCTAGAGGACGCTTTAATCTTTTGCCAGGACAAAGCTTGTAAATAATTGCACACAGGGCAGAAATTCTAGGAATGAGGGGTTGGCCAGAATCCATGGAGTCGTAGGAGAACAGCCACAGGAGGAGCGCAGAAGCCACACAGTTACGGACTACATCCTATGTCCTATTAGAGAGGCACTATGCCCCTCCCCTGCCTGCCACACACACAGGATGCCCATGGCCATCTCAGCGGATCCCCCGGGGAGCTACCTCTCCACTGTCCTGTTTATTGCTCCAAATAAAATAAATGTGGCACTCAGCTGGCTGCCACTTTTCCAAATCAATTCCTCTGGCTTCCAGGTGACCCACAGAAAAGCAAGGCTTTCCACCAAATGAGAAGAGTCCTATATAAATTTTTAAAACTGGCAGAATATACAATATTTGGTTCAAAAGGTACAGCTGACAAGATTGCAGCAGGTGTAAGATAAGCAGAAAGAAACTCATACAGTCATTATATTTTATTGTGAGGTATAAAACGCTTCCTAAATCATCTGAAAAAAGGGTTTGGAAGACTAGATCCCCGTGTACTAAATTTCTTAAACGACTATTAAGGCCCACTCAGGACGTTAAAATAGTCATTCACAGCCACCTAACGATCCGCCACACACAGGGCAACGATCAGAGGTTGCTCATGAGAGACCCCACATTTACATTAATTAAGACACCGGATCCCAAAAGTCAGGAACACTCTCTGTGACAGGAGTGTTTTCTTACTTATTTCTAACACAAATCTAAGCTTACTAAAGACAAATAAACAGCCTTAAAAAATAGAAGATTCAAATGAGTGCATCACATCTATGGTTACCTGACAATAAATAAAGCCACACAGAAAATCTTAGCTGCTCGGAGGTATGAAGGATCTCATAGATTATCAAAGCCACCTACCCACAACACGACCAACTCTTCACATCTCCAGCTTCCCTGCCAAATGGTCTGTTGGCTCATGCTTGTCAGAGCACTTGCTATCTCCTAAAATGGTGCATTGTGCTCTGGGACTTAGAAAGTCCTTCCTGCTGCTAAGACATTTGCCTCAGTGTCTCTTCACTGTCAAACAGGAGGTATTTCCTCTTTCATTGGGTGTTCAAATATCGGAAGGCAACTGTGGCATCTAGGTTTATTTATCTCTTTCCCAAATTGTCATTAGCCACTTCTCAGATACCCTTCCTGGACTACGAGAGGCAGGCACAGGTTGAGTCTTTGATTATAAGAAGTCTTGAGTTGCATCTACAGAATGGAACCTCATAAGCATCGTACAAGTGACTCTTGGTGGTCACTACTTTTCTGTTTCTAAGGCTTCCAAGCTGTTCTTTTATTGAGTTAGTATGGTGAGACTATAATAGATGGAATGTTTGGATAGTGAGAGTCAATACTGAAGGACAGTTGGACTCAATTTATCTGAGCTCTACTTCTTAATATGCTCCTTCTTTAGCAGTTTCTCAGCATCAGGAAAGAATAAGATCTTGGAGAAAGCAGTTATGAATGTCATGGGCACTGCTCTAGAAAGCAGTGTGGTACAGGAGAAAGAAATTCTCTAATAAGGCCAGCCAGAAGTTAAATCCTACCTCTAACACTTAGTTGCAGCTGCCATTTATATTTTGGACAAATCCTTGGTTTCTACATCTGTACATGTAGATAATGGGCACATCTGAGCAGTGCTTTAAGCAAGGAGAAAACCTACTATCACAGAGCACCTAACAAACAGTGAGACTCATTTTCCCCCCTTTTTAATTGGAAACCAAATTTTAGGTGAATTTTCTTTAAAATGTTAACATTCCTAATCTATCTGGGAAACTCTGATCTTCTGTAATCTGCAGAAGTTTCAAACCTCACAGGATGCCCATGATTTTACAATACTTTTCAACCCATATTCCATCCGAATTGATTTAGATACATTAGGTAACTTTACCAAATGGTCCTACTTATGAATCTAATTGCTCAGCACATTTATGCTGAATTCTAATTTATGAACAATAAATTATTTGGCTTTTTTTGTTGAGTCATATATCTGTTTTAGCTTTTTAATCAATGCAAGAGGTATCATTGTAACACAATTGGCTTTTTATTCAATGCTTCCATAAGCTGAAAATGGTTCATAAAATGACCACTCAATAATTACTACTCAAACACAGATAAAGAATCCAGGAAGAAAAGAATAGGTAAATACAATTGTGATTTTGTTCTATTTAGCTTTCACATTTGTGAATAATGATTTCCTTCACTTGTAGGAAAAGTGTCCCTAAAACATCATTTGCTTCCCTTCCAAGTCAGAGAACACAGATATCCGCTTCCATTTGGAACATCTGACCCTAGTCCTGTCTTGTTCCTTGCTTTGCCATCCTAAATCTACTCACCAAGTTTGGTCATTTCTGTTTCTGCTAACAGAGCACTCTCTCAGAAAACTTTCTGGTAACAATAAGCAATAGTATGGACTCTATTCAGTGTAAAATAATCAAAGAAAATAACTACAGAATTTGAGAATCAAAAGAGTCAGGACAACTACTATATAACATTTAACAGGTTATCAAGGGCCAGAGAGGTTAATAAATGAAGTCGAAGTTCCACAGCTAGTCAGTAACAGAGGTAGCCTACTTAGCCAGTATAGAGGGAGCTCCAAAAAAGGCTTATTATTTACATTGTTTCTTAAAGTATGTTTCTCAGAAACTTAAATTCCAGGATGTTAATAGCTGTTGGGAATAGGGGGGAAGATTCCCAAATAACATTGAAAGTCACTGAGTTAAACAAAGCCAACAGATGTTGTTGTTGTTGTTGTTGTTTGCTGCAGGACTTCTCAGGGCCTTTATTATTTACTGTTCTTATGTAAATCCAAAAGGAGACCATAGTCAGCAGTGCTTTCCAAACATTTTTAATCATGAAGTTTTTGTTTCGTTTTTAGAAGTACTGTACGTGCAAAGCGATCCATAAAATGTATTTTGGGAAACATAAAAACTAATGTATGCAACAAAAATTACTTAAGACTTTTAGGTTTCAATACATTTCATTCTCTGCTTCTATGTGTGTGAACATCCACACACAGACAGAAACATAAGCCAACAACTGGTTCAACAATATGCCATAAAAATCAAACTCACAGTCTATAATATAGAATAAGGACTTCAAAACTAGGATGGGTGTATATTGGTTCCCTACCATTTGATCTACAAAACCAGGAGAATTCAGATGCATTTAACAAGTTCAAGGTCACAGAGACTATGTTACATCACTGGGATTCTTGCCTTTAGTTCAGCTGCTCTGGAGTTGTAGTCAACAGAACAGTGATGCAGTTGAGAAAGTACAACAGATACTGTCAGTAACAAAACGAGGTTTACACAAGAAGAAAGGTCAAGATGCTTCGAGTCTGAATGTATGGAACTGAGAAGCCATGCAAGGTCACAGGACTTAGCACAAACCTGAGAGCTGTCTTTATTCTCTGAGGCCCCCACATTACCATCTGTGTAAGAGACTCCCTGAACCAGGAAAAGGAAGATCTTTCCATCTCTGCAAGTGTACTGTAAAACCACAGGAATGAAACAGCTTGTTAGTCTCCCTGCGGAATTTGCTGTCTGTAAGCCCACAGGGCTCAGACGACTGTTGAATAACTGCGTTGGACCTTTCTCCAGGACAAACCTTGGCCCAGGCTAGGTATGTGGCAGCTCTGCAGCCAGCAGGTTTTCACAAAGTGGGAAAGACAGAACTGCTGGCTGGGGACCATTACAGACTCTCAACAAGGTGGAGGCCTCTGCAGGAGGACTGGATCAATGGATCCACTCAATATGGCGACCTCTGTCCCACTGAGGAGGGAGCTTCTTCAATGTAGGTGAAACTCAGGACATTTCCTCTGTGTAGGGAGGCATTATCTTCTCATTTTTTTTAAAGTTCATATTATTAAAAAGTAACAATGTTTTATAGGAATTTCCTCCCACAAAATTTAAGATGCCCTAACTGCAGCTGATCATTTTAATTCTTCAAATTCTTTGAAGAGCCTTTAAGGGTGGGCCAGGTGACTCTTGCCATTTCACAGATGGACTGTACAATAGCACAGCAAAATACTGGCAACATTCTAACGGTAATTAGGACAAGTATTCAAGGTAGCAATCTGTATAAAGGATGAAATGGTTTCCTTATAACCCACCTTATATCCAATATGTAAGGGAAGAGAGAGCTGAAATAATCAGTAATGTACGAAAGAAAAATATGAAGTAGGAAAGGAAGGCAATAGAGGGAATATCTTTTCTCTTCCCACATTACACACTGCCCTCCTACTGAAACATTTTAAATCCATTTTCTCTTTAAGAAATAATAGATGAAAATTGAAAACAAAGTTAAGCAGAAAGATAAATAAGAACTTATAACTCCAGCCTCCATCACTAAAATGTTGGTATATATCCTTCCAGACTTTTTAGTATACCTATATGTGCCCGAAATAGAATCATATCTATATATTGCTTTGTAATCTTACATTTTTACTTTACATTTTATGCTGAGGACATCTTTCTATGTCTATAAAAAATAATCCTGGCCACTCCATCTGTAAGAGCAGAGAAATACCAGGTAAGGAATACGGACTCTGGGGTCAAACAGGTGAGACTTCAAGTCTCATGTTGGCTGCTTTATAACTATGCGACCCTCAGAAAGCTGTTATTTTGTCTAAGTCTCAAGTTTCTTATTTATGCAATAGAGATCACAATGATACCTACTTCACAGGCTACAGCTAGAATTAAAATAATGCATGTAAAGTAATTAGCAAATACCTGACATGACAGTTATGTGCTCGATGTTAAGTAGCTATCATTATTAGCAGTAGTGAACATTCTATTATATTACATTTTTGAAAAAACTCAATCTTCTATTGTTTGGCATTTAGATTATTTCTATTTTTTTAACCTTTTATTTTGAAATCATTATTGACTTACAGGTACTTGCAAAAACAGTAAAGTCCCACATACCCTATACCCAGTTTTTCCCAGTAGTTACGTCTTACACATCTATGATACAATATAAAAATGCGGGAGTTGACATTAGTATAATCTACAGATTTTATTCAGATTTCACCAGATTTACATGCACTGATCCATTTATATGTGTGTGGGTATAAGTAAATGCAATTTTATCACATGTCCACATTCCTGTAACCAGCACCACAATCAGGGTATGGAACTTTTCATCACCACAAGATCCCCTGTGCTACCCCTTTATAATCACACTCCCCTTTACATCCTCCATCTCCATAATTATATCATTTCAAAATGTTTATGTAAGTGGAACCCTATGGCTATGGTTTGGCTGTGTCCCCCCCGCGAATCTTATCTTGAATTGTAGCTCCCATAATTCCCATGTGTTATGGGAGGGACTCAGTGAAAGATAATTGAATCATGGGGGCGGTTTTCCCCATACTGTTCTTGTGGTAGTAAATACGTCTCATGAGATCTGATGGTTTTATAAGGGGTTTCCCTTTTCACTGAGCTTTAATTCTCTCTTGACTGCCACCATGTAAGACAAGCTTTTTGTCATCTGCCATGATTGTGAGGCCTCCCCAGTCACATGGAACTGTGAGTCCATTAAACTTCTTTTTCTTTATAAATTACTCAGTCTCGGGTATGTCTTTATCAGCAGCATGAACATGGAGTAATACACCTATACTATGTAATGTTTTGAGATTGGCTATTTTCTCTCAGCATAATGTCCTTGAGATCCATCCAAGTTGCTATGCATATCAATAGTTTGTTCCTTGGTATTGCTGAGTAGTATTCGATTGTATGGATGTACCACAGTTTGTTTAACCATTCATCTATTGAAAACCACTTGAGTTTGTTTCCAGTCTTTGGCCAATACAAATAAACTTGCTCTGAACATGGGTATAGATTTGTGTGTGGACATAAATTTTCATTTATCTGGAACAAATGCTCAGAAATGAGTGTTGGGTTGCATGGTAAATGCATGTTTAGTTTTATACAACACACTGTTTTCCAGAGTGGCTACACCATTTTACATAGCTACAAGAAATGTATGATAGATTAAATTCATATGCATTTTCACTGGCATTTGATACTATATTTTCTTTTAACTTTGGCTCTTCTAATAGGTGTGTAGTGATATCTCATCATGGCTTTAATTTGCATTTTCCTAATGGCTAATGATGTTGAATACCTATTTCTAATTTTTGATGTGACAATGCAAAATGGATACTTTGTTTGGATAAATCCTAAGTTAATTCCTACAATGAATTCTTCAAAGTGGAATTACTAGATAGGCAGATTTTTAAAATAGTGGGAAAATAATATCATATTGCCCTCCAGAAAATTACCAATTTACACTCCCATCAGCATCACATGAACTGCTCAGCTTTGAAAGTACTAACTCTCTCTCATTGTCTCCCCTACAAGGTTAAAAAGACAGTTCTTGCCAATACATTCTCCACTACCAGGGAAATAAAATAAAAATTAGGTTTCCCTAAATCTTAATAGAGCAGAAAATGAACCAACTAAGATACCCTCTCTAAGGACATCTCACATTCAGACATGCATTTAACATTTTCATCAAACACATTAGGAAGAAAGAAAACTCATTTACCTTTATGGGCAATATGACACAGATCTTCTTGCATTTTAGAAAACTCTGATGAGGTTTCAGAGCCATCAGAATAATTTTTCTCTTCTCCAAAATCTAGTGTTGACAAATTAGGATTGGAGGAGTGTAGTCTTACTGGGCCAGAAAAAGGTTTGGGGACCTGAAGTAACACCAAAGGGAGATATTTCTTTTCAGATGCAGATTGCTTAGAATATTTACTTGATTCTAAGATTGAAATACAGTAATATAAAACATTTTATAGGTAGGTCTTTCTACTGAGTGATAACTTATTTTTAAAAATGAGAACTCAAGACAACACTTTCCACAGCAACTTGCTTCTTGTGAGCTAAAAATGGGTGAGAAATCACATATTCTTTTGGAAATGATAGAAGCATTAAAGCTTTAGGTTGAAAATGACAGCTAAAGCTGCCAGGCTTTCTCATGTATACTCAATTCCTTCCTCCTGGCAATAATCATCCACGTATCCAGGCAGTTAGTAATGGATAGGTTTAAAATGCTTTCCTTTGCACCTAGGGCTTCTACAAAACAAATGACCTTCATTTGTACATGGAACATTCTTTACTTCCAAAGTGCTTATCTTCAGTCCATAAACTACTTTGAACCAAAGAGTATACAAGAGTGTATCAGGTGACCTAACCAGAAGCTTGAGATTTATGTTGATTCTAAAAGTGTTCCAATTTAATATGCAACAGTTAAGCTGCAAATCTTGGCCTGTGGCTTAGCTGTGCACTGGGAAAGCTCCTCGCATGCATGACACAGCGAATCCTGGATGAGGCATTGGGAGTTTGGAGATAAGAGGCCAAGGAGAATCTACACCATGTCCTGTGCCCAGAGAATCATGCCTGTGGGCTTAGAGGGATGACAAATCCATGGAGCATGAGCAGAAGACATAGGTCAGAGCACACAGTAACTGCAGCCACAAAACAAGGCACAAACACAAGCAGGGAAGAGCACAGGCAGGCTCAACAGTGAAGATGGGGAAACCAAAAGCCCTAGAAATGGCAGCAGTCCCTGCAACCTCACACCCTTTTTCCCTTAGAAAATATTCTCTCCCTTGCCCACGATCCATTATGTGCATATCCTAGCACCCAGACAGTCTAAGCGATTCAATTCATCTATCTGCAGAGGACATTGGAAAGAACAACTACAGAATATTCACTCATCTATTCTCCTAGCTGAGTCAAGGCAGCTCCCGGCACATGGCATGCAGAGCAGGGCCAATGAAGAAACCAGTCTGTCGGGGGAAGCAATGGTTACCTGCAGCGTTCCTTTAGCATCTTTGCCAATAGCTCTGGACCGCCACCTCCTTTGTGATCTTTTTTCCTTTTTGGGACTTTCAAAAGCTCCACCCTTTGTTTCAAAACAGGAAAGAGAGCACAGACAGTAAAGTCCACCAAACTGACAAGGATAAATGCTTAGTAAGGTGACTACCTCCATCCCCTTGACTTTGGCTGAAGCAACTGACCACAGCATCCCACTGTTAGTGAAAGGCTGGGAGGAGAAAGGAAAGCAGAAGAGGGCCAGAATGTCAACAGAAGAGGAGTCAGGCTCACCTGGATGGCGTTGATAGCTGGTGCCGAGTATGTCCGATGCAGGACATCCATGCTTTGCAGGAGCTGGCTCATTTCTACCAGGTAGGCATGACAGTGCGCCAGGTCTGTGGGGGAAAAGAGGATAGTGCTCACAATGCTCCACCAGCAAGGGGGATCACTGCTGTCCCCATGCCAGCTACTTTTCCTTATTTATCTGTAGTTGATTTTTTTTTTTTATCTGTAAGGATTGGAAATTTTACTTCCCTTTTTACAGGAAAGGCTGTAGACTCTAGTGGTTAAGGGCACAAATCTTGAGAACCAGGCTACCTCAGTTTGAATCCACTTAATGAACTGTAACTACTGAGAAAATTGCAAAACTGCATGCCTCAGCTTCCTCATCACAAAGATGGGGATAATTATACACATAGATCACAAGACAGTTGTGAGAATTAAATGAGTTGATGTTGCAGAGTTCTTAGAAGAGTGTTTGGCACAGAGTAAAAACTAAATAAATCAGCCAACATCATCATCATCTTTAAGTTTAATCCTGTAGTAATATGCTGACGCTATCCACTTGTCAGGACCTAATGCACATTAATAAAACTAAAATGAAAGTTGTACTAGTCTCTAAGGAAAACTTTGTCAATCATGGACCTGCCTGAGGATCATAATGAGCCTCTGCAGATGGACCTGAGAGGACATAAGAGGACTCTCCAACCAGATCCCAGTTGCTAACTCAAAAGATAGTCCATAATTTGCCATTCGCTGGATGCTGATGGATGTTTCTGCTAAAGAATACAGGCCCAAATGCCTTAAGCTAGAGGCTCTCACACTTTGATATCATCGGGATCACCCGGAGACCTTGTTAAACCATAGCTCACTGGGCTCCACCCCTAGTTTCTGATTCAGTACATCCGGGTTGAGCCTGAAAATGTGCATTTCTGGTAAGTTCCCGGGTGGATGCTGCTGCTCCAGAGACAAGGCTCCAGGGACTGCTTTGACAAGCTGTCACTCAGTAAAGCTCAAAAGTGATGTTTATTGGAGGGGCAAAGCCTACATGGTCCCAAGGGTGATACTACCTACATTCAACAAGAGATAATGCAATTTTCAAGGCTGCCACCTGGTATCTTTCTCCAACAGTGGCTCTCAATCATGGCTACACTTTTAAATCAATTGGAGAAATCTTCTAAATTATATATGCCTAAATCCCACTCCCAGACAATTCAATCAGAGCACTCCCAATCCCACTGTGGATCTTTTCGGTTTTTAGTTCGCTAAGTCAGTCTTAGCTAATTAAGGTTGAGCATGCTGAGCTTCCTTATGGCAGGCGCCTTATCAAAATCACTTGGGGAACTTTGGAAAATTAGTGATACCCGGGCCCTACCTCAGACCAATTTAAAGAGATCATTTGAGACAAAGGACTGGGAATGGGTATTACTGCATTTTAAAAGCCCTCTGGGTGATTCTAATGTGCAGTCAGGGTAGAGAACACCTAAGTCATGAAGATCTCCATCTGATCACCCCCTCACCTCCAGCACAATGATTCTCAATCTTGGATGTGTGTCAGACTCTGCCCTTGGAGACTGACTTAGAGGCCCATGTGGAAATCAGGCATCAGTATCAGGCATCAATACTGAAGGAACAGAAGAAGAAACCTGTCTGCATGTACAGCCAGGTGAAGATGCAAAGATCTGCAAGGAGAGTGTCTCTTGTTGATGATGGGTGCAACTTTTACAAGCAAAATATGGAAGGGAATGTGGACAAGCAAAGGGGAAGGACACAAATGCACCTGAAGTGTAAACATCAAACCAGTATCATCTAACAGCCACGACAGAAAGCAGAGGTTTCAAGTCACTCTACCTTTGGAGCATTTTTCCATGTCCTCTGAAGACTGTAACCATAATGGAACTCGTGTCTCTCCACCGCAAGAAAATGATACATTGCTTCCAGTTTGAAATAAATTCTGCTTTGATATACTGCTACGCTGTTCCACAGATGACAAAAGCACATTGTAAACGGAAACAGAGCCCAGCAGGGACATGTTAAGGTAAAGGATAACAGAGTGGGTTAGTCACTAATGGACACCATTTGCCTATAACGAGGAAGAAGCTTCTAGCTAAGTACTAAGACCTCTGACTATCACCCTGGCTTGGCCATACCATGCTATGATATGGCATGCTTGAATGGTGGACCTTATTTTCTTCTTTTATCACATATTAATAATAACACCAAAATAATAAATGTTTGGAACTATTTTGCAATCCTGCATAGCTATATGCATACCTACTGTAGTTTACAACCAGAAAAGGGAACCAAACTCAAACCAGTCAGGACAAAGCTAGTTCATTCAGAGATGCTAAATTTCTCCTCATTCTTCAGTCACTGTCCCCCCCAAATAAGAGATGCTCGTCTGGTCTTGCTTCTGACTCAGTGGGCAAACAGACTAATTAAATACCACCCCAAGCCTACCTGCTTGTCCCTGAAAACCTCTCCTTCTTCAGACTCAGCTCCCAAGATAGGACTCCATGAAAAAAAGCCACCCCGTTCTCAGATTCATTATTGGCAAAACACTCATTACCTTCCTACTTGAAATGGAGTCAAACACCCCAGATGTAGAGTCTGTGATGGTGGACCCTGAGAAAAAGTGATTAACTTCATGTGGAAACATGGCAATTTCATTCTGACGATACATTCTGTGATGGCGAAGTTTCGATACCCACTCATCAAAGACTTCTTCTGATTTGACCTATGATGTATTCAATTGAAAAAAGGAAAGAAGAGAATCACTCATGGGAAGGAACAATTACTCATCAAATTGAGGCCACTCCCGAAATCCGCTTTTTCAGTTGGCACATAATTTCAACAGCCAGGCGCAGTGGCTGATGCCTGTAATCCCAGCAATTTGGAAGGCCGAGGAGGTAGGACCACTTGAGCCCAGGAGTTTGACACCACTCTGGGCAACATGGAGAAACCCTGTGTCTACAAAAACTACCAAAAAAATTAGCCAGACATGGTGGCACAAGCCTGTGATCTGAGCTACTCGGGAGGCTGAGGTGGGAGGATCACTTGGGCCTGGGAGGTTGAGGCTGCAGTGAACCGAGATTGAGCCACTGCACTCCAGCCTGGGTGGCAGAGGGCGACTCTTGCCTCAAAAAAAATACATAAATAAGAAAGAAAAGGAATGGAGAAGTAGCCTCTCATTGACTGTTTACATTGATGTGGTCTACAGGAACAAGTTTGAGAAAGAAATGCAGAGTAAAAATGATCTTTACAAAGTATGTATTTTGGCTTTCTATGAGTGAATCCAACTGTTATTTATTTATTTACTTATTTATTTGAGATGGAGTCTTGCCCTGTTGCCCAAGGCTGGAGTGCAATGGCCCGATCTTGGCTCACTGCAACCTCCACCTCCCAGGTTCAAGCAATTCTCCCACCTCAACCTCCCGAGTAGCTGGGATTACAGGCATGCAGCATCACGCCCAGCCAATTTTTTGTATCTTTAGTAAAGACAGGGTTTCATCATGTTGGCCAGGCAGGTCTCGAACTCCTGACCTTGTGATCTGCCTGCCTCGGCCTCCCAAAGTGCTGGGATTACAGACGTGAGCCACCGCCTGTAATGCTATTTTTAAGAAACCAGAACACTGCCAATCATATTAAGCAACAAATAAATTGATATTTATATTTATCTGCCTCTTAAAGCATTTCTAAGTTCTCTAATCCCAGCTTCTCTAGCCCTACTGAAAATATGAGCACCATTTTTCTTTTTAAACTCTTTTCTAATTCAGACTTTTCAGATCAATCTTTTCTGAACTAGAATGAATTAGTAAATTCTTCCTAAAATATTTAACCTTGTTCATCTCTCCAACAAAGAATACATTGCTGAGGAGTATATGTGATATGGTTTGGCTGTGTTCCGTGTCCCCACCCAAATCTCATCTTGAATTCCCACATTTTGTGGGAGGGACCTGGTCAGTGAGAGAGAACTGGATCATGGGGGCAGGTCTTTCCCACAGTGTTCTCGTGGTGGTGAGAGGGTCTCACAAGATCTGGGGGTATTATAAAGCGGGGTTTCCCTGCACAAACTCTTTCTTTTTGCCTGCCACCATCCACAGAAGATGTGACTTGCTCCTCCTTGCCTTCCGCCATGATTGTGAGACCTCCCTGGCCATGTGGAACTGTAAGTCTATTCACCTCTTTCTTTTGTAAATTGCCCAGTCTTGGGTATGTCTTTATTAGCAGTGTGAAAATGAACCAATACAATGTGTTAATGAACGTGAAGGTTATTTAAAAGAACATTTCTCCCACTCTCAGAAATAAAGCACTGTACGGCAATATTATTTTTCCAACTTTTTTTACTCTCATACTCACAAACCTTTAGCCATTCTCTCCATAAATGAGCAATTATCAATTTCTAATTTCCATGAAGAATACTGTTTGTAACTAGTAGTTTTTATTTAAAGATATTTCAAACGTTTATAAAAATATATGTGATATATATAAAAAGAATATAACAAGCACCTATATACCACAGATATTTCTTAAAAGTCAATTTTGGCCGGGCACTGTGGCTCACGCCTGTAATCCCAGCACTTTAGGAGGCTAAGGAGGGTGGATCACGAGGTCAGGAGATCGAGACCATCCTGGCCAACATGGTGAAACCCCATCTCTACTAAAAATACAAAAATTAGCTGGGTGTGGTGGTATGCGCCTGTAGTCCCAGCTACTCAGGACTCTGAGGCAGGAGAATCGCCTGAACCTGGGCGAGAGAGGTTGCAATAAGACGAGATCGCGCCACTATACTCCAGCCTGGGTGACACAGCGAGACTTGGTCTTAAAAAAAAAAAAAAAAAAGTCTGTGTGTGTGTGTGTGTGTGTGTGTCAATGTATTGATATTTTCAAAGTAAAAAAATGATAGATACCCATATATTAGAACACTGAGACTTATGAAGCTGTAATTTAAGATAATCCAAAAGGATGCACAGTAGGATAACTTCCAAGATGAAAAGTTCAGGTCAAACTGTGAAAATCTTCACTAATGCCAGAGATGAGAGCTAGGATATGCAAATAAACGCCAGCAATATCACTCACTGAGGAACTGTTAGGTTGGCTCTAGTGTTGATTGTTAGAAGTACCTATAAGACTGGAAGCACCTGCAGGGGCTTTTTAATGTGTCATTTACAGGAAGAAGCAATACAAACAGACTCACACCTATTTGTCTCCCCTAAATTATGTTCTTGAAATGTATTTCATTTCCCAGATGTGGTTAAAAGGAATTTTACAGGAATCTTGTGTCATCCTTTGCTCTGATCTATTCTCAGAGGCCCTTATAAGTCAGTGCCCAAGCACTCATCTGGACTCACTTTTTTATCAGTTAAACAAGGTAGAAGAATAAGAGCACTTTATTAAATAACTGTCCAGGGTCCTGTTCCAGTCTCTCAAGTAGTTCTAGGGTCGTGGGTGAACAGCCGCTTAATCTCTCTGCTATCCAGGATCCCTTATCTATAAAATAAATGGGATCAAACAGCCCACAATTTAAAACTGCCTGACTGAGTCTATTAACTAGAACCCTCAAATAACTACACTTGCCTACGCTAAGAATCAGAGCTGATGTTCAAAAGAACGAACAAGAAACCAAACAGACCTTAAAGCAAATCACAGAGAAATATTAAACTGCGTTTATCACAATATTAGCATTCAATATATTTTAAGGTATTCTAACCCTTTAAAAATTATTAATTCATAATTACTTTTATTTTGTTAACCAGAATAGTGGGCAAATAAGAACCTATTAATTCCTGACCATGTCAAAATACAGAGCTAAGATTCATTGGAAGTACCTGAAGAAATAACCTAAACTATTCTAGTGGAGACCGATCACTGAAACAGAATAAAGGATAGTATTCTTTCTTAAATTTCTTTTTCCTCTTAAGATATAGGCTTTTCCCACACCAGTCATTTGCAGCCAGGGGTGGTTTTATCCTCTAGGGAACACCTGGCAATGTCTGGAGATATTTTTGGTTGTCATAACTGGAGAAGGATGCTATTGGCATCTAGAGAGAGGGCAGGGGGCAGGGACACTGCTCAACATCCTGCTATACAAAGTCAGCCTCCCACAACAAAGCATTATCCAGCTCACAATGTCAATGGTGCTGAGGCTGAAAAACCTTGCTTTACACAATTAGCTACACCCAGAGATACAGTTAGGCTAGGAAATAGTGAAGATTTGACTGTCTTGCCCATTCAACCAACCACAGGTATGTGGTCCACATGGCTCAATCACCACACACATGCCATAGAGAGGACAGGGACACACTGAGACAAGGAGCTCATGATCTCATGCTTTCATTTTCCTAATCCTGGGGCCCCATTCCCAATATCTCAAGTAATTTTCCCAAGTAAGAAAACAGTCTTAGTATTTTCTCAATTAATTTCTAACATTCGGGTACCATCCAACAAGCACATACAATAACTACACTTCCTGAGTTTACACTGGGCCAGGCACTAGGCCAAGTTTTCCACATGCAGCCCGAAAAGATGAGTGTTATAATAATTTTCATTTTGTTTTAGGTGAAAAAACTGAGACTTTCAGAGATATGTAATTTGCCAAAGTTCAATGGCTAGTGAGTAGCCACATCAAGATCTGAACCAGATCTAGATCTCACGCTTCATGCTTTGACTATCTCTACCACCTGCAGGAGAGACAGCACAAGAGGGTAAGCAGCTTTGAAGTACTATTTGGGAATCCACGCTTTAGGGGAAAAATTCCTGACATTTCACTACAATATTAGAATTTTGGTGGGATTCCTATAAAATTAGCCAAAGTGATAAAACAGGGCTCCATGGCCTAAATGTTATATATATTTCAGGAACACATGTTAACCTATAGTAAATGGTTCTTCACTAAAGATGTTACTGCCTGAGTGGAGATGGTTTGCAAACAACATTTTTCATTGTTGACTGTTGTCACAATCACTGGGGGCAGGCTGGTACCTAGGGGATGAGGTGACCAGGAGGCTAAACCTTCAAGCAGTGCTGACAGTCCTGCACAATGACATCCCATTCAAACACCAACACTGTCCATGAGAAACACTTTGGTAACGAAGGTCTTCTACATGTTGGCTGAATACCCAAAAGGCATCACCAACAGTATAATAACTGACAATCCTTCCCCAACATAAGTCAACTCTGCACAGTGGGAAGCAGCCTCACCTTCAGATGGTAGATGTGCTCCTCGGTGTCAAGGTCTATGCATTTTGATGACTTCTTTACAGACATCACTGAGAGCCCCACGTCAATGCAGCCATGCAGCTTCTCTCTCTCTATCTGCAGAGGCACCAAGAGGGTCACTTGGGAACCATGGTGTTAAAAGCAGTAGTCACAACCCTGACACACCCTTCCACACCCACTGACAGTAAAATCACAACCACTGCGACTCCTCAAGCACTTAGCGTGAGCCAGTGCTGAGTTATGTGCTGGACATGCACTGTCTTCCTGAGTCTCTGAGGTAGGAAGTACTCTCCCCATTTTACAGATGAAGAAACTGGGGTACAGAGAGGTTAAGTAACAAGCAGTTTACACAGTCAGGATGTGAGGAAGCAAAAGAGTAAACACTGTGGGTTGACTCCCATAGCAGTGAATTCACCTGTCAACTGCACTGCCTCCCGCTGAATTAGTTTCTGGTGTCTACATTCATTTAGAAGTGATGTATTAATAAAAGAAGTGAGAGCAGGAAGCTGAGAGGACAGGAGAGGAAGAAGGGAGAAGAGCAGGACTCCTTCAAGGGGCAGAACAAATGGTCATTCAGAGCCCTCACACACCAACTGCCTGGGATTAATTTGAAAAGGAACTTCTTCACCCAGGGCCTTCTCCCCGAACCCCTTGGTAACAGTACAAGTGAGAGGGACGCCCTATGTTTTGTTCCTGTTATCTAGCTGCGAGGATGTATTCTCCCACCCGGGGAACTCCTTAGCACAACCTTAAGACCAGAACAGACCTTTGCATGCCCTGAGAGTGTTGGGGGAGCCCCTGCACCTGGACCTGGTGGAGGAACTGAGCCTGCCTGGAACCCAGAGCTCAGACAGAAGTGATTCCCCTCTATGATTTCCAGTTCTGAGAAGAGCTATCCTCAACTATACGCACTCTCATCTCTGAGCTGATGGTTACCCCTTTAGGATTCTCCAATACCACACTGGGCCCACGAAAAGACTTACATCAGTTTGGCTCTTGGCATATTTCAAGATTCCTTTGTCCAGATAGAAGAATCTCTGTGGGGAAGAAAGTATTATTAATTAAGACATTCAATTTAGGTGCCCTTTTCTTGGTCTGAAATTACAACTAGAAATTAAATATGAGTGCCTAAGAACCAGGTGCTGAGTGGGGCAGTGTGAATGCAAATAAAGGGGAGGCCAAGAACAACCTTACCTTGTGCCAGCCTTTTAAGGGCCATTTCCTCTTTTTCAGCAAAAATCCTTTCTGAACTGGTGGCTCCTGGGTGTAATTCATCTCCCCTCTCAGTCCTTCCACCACTTCCCAGCTGTCCTGTTCCAACAAAAGAGTTGATGTTAAATGTCTACCTTTTTGAAAAATAATAATGGTAAAAAGCACTGCATCCTATCAGTAAATTTATTCTAGATGGGGAGGCTGGCTGGGTTTGTTGGGGAGAAGAAATCCAAATTTAATTTCCATACAGTCCCTGGGCTTCATAGATTTAATTCTATAATTCAGTGGCATCGAATTGCAGTTTTTTTAAAGCTCTTTTTTGAGAAGAGAATGTTTCTTTCGGTGTTTGAACCTTAATAGGCACAGTTAAATGTAAAGATTTTCCTGTAAGTTCTATTTTTGTTCACTTTGACATTACCATGCAATTACTGTTTGCTCAGCACTAGACTTCGGTCTGAATTTTAACCAAAAGAGAGTGTGTGTGTGTGGTGTGTTGTTGGGGGAAGGAAGTTGGTTTAAGAATTGGCTGAAAAGTATGAGACAATGCAAATCAGTAAATATGACAACTTGGTTGAAATAATTATTTTGTTGAAAATCAGCATCCACAAATTCTAGGTATTTAAATGTGCTGGAAATCTAGACGCATTAAAAGTATATTTTTGCAACAAGAACTTTCACTCTTTTTTCCCAGAAATTTGTTTTTTCCATCTTTTTTTGTTTCAAAAACTTTTCTTTCTTTGGCCAATTATTACAAACAGTTTTTACAACTAATCTTCCACTATTGGCTATTTAGGTTATTTCAACTAATTGAAAAAGAATTTTAAAAGAAATAAAAAAGAAAAACACTAAAAGTTCTGAAAATTTACTTTTAAATACTTAAAAATGAATACATCATTGCTAATCACCTGAAGATAAACCAAAAGTGGCAATAGTTCAGTGACTGGGAGAGTTTATTTTTATTATTATTTTTAAATTTTTTATTGGGATATAATTTACATGAAATGCACGAATCTTAAAGAGTATGCCTTGATAAATTTATACATATACTTAGTAACTGCCAGCCAGATCCAACAGAAAATATTTCCAACACAGAGTAATTAAGTTTTGACAAGCATGACACTTCAGCCAAGATTTCACCTGGACTAACTTGCTCTGAGTCAAATCTCCAGCCCACAAGCAGGTGCTACAGACAGAAGCCAAGGGCACTGGGAGATGGACAGTGAGTCTGAACCAGCACCAGGGAGCAGGAGGCAGTTAGATTCAAGTCCTGGGACACAAGTGGTCTAATAGGGAGGGCACAGAAACCACACAGGGTCCTGAGTGGCTCTGGCTCAGTTTCTGTGTTGTCCTCAAGTTCAATACATGGGACCCACCTGGTAATGAGAACCCTTTCCTACGTTAGCAACGGAACTCTTTACGTCACGATCGTGACGGGTCTGTCTTCTATCGGATGGCACTTTACTGTGAATCCAATTAAAGGTACATTCCAGAGTTTTAAAATATCACAGTGGTATTCCCAAGATCTGGAGTTGTGAAAGAGACTTCTTCAATGGAAAAAAGCAAAGCTTCGAAAAAAGATCCAGCTTTTAAATTAGATGATTTTTTTTTTAAGGAAGGTAGCAATGTTGAATGAGATTTCTTCATAGCAATTATTACCAATTATTCCAAGTCACTTAATTACACTCAGACAATAAATGCATACAAATAAGTGATGGGAAGTCAGATTTCCTATTACTTAAAAACACCAAAAAAAAATCTTACTTGAATTTATTTTAGCTCAGAAAGTCATTCCTCAAAATTTAACACACTTTACCCGTCTAAATGTTAATGAACCTTTACGGTTGTCAAGTTAAAACTTCCACCTCAAATTTCACCCCCTCCAGTGGAAAATACCATTTAATCCCTAGAGACTTCATAAGGACTCCATCTTACTTTTCCGGAGGTTCACCACTTACTTATGATAATATGTACATGAGGTTTTATCATCCCTGCTGGACAGTAGGCTCCTTGAGGGCATAAAGGGTCCAGAGTATTTCTGATTTCCCCACAATGCCTAACCTGCTGTCCCGTGAATAGTATGCATCTGATTGGCAAATGAATAAACTTAGTCTTGGAATAAGTCTGCAAACAGATTTATCTTCTTGGAATGTCATAAATTAGTATGCGTTTGAAGTATGGCCCAGTATCTTTGAGCCGAATGACTATTTACAAATGAGATACAATGCATCCACATTTGTTAAAGAAGGGGGTGTGGGTGTTGTTGTCATTGTTAAATAAAAATGCAAGACTTAAAATCCTCTGGAAGTACTCTAAGTGGATCAAGTCCTTTTGATTTGTTTATTTTAAGACTCCCAGGCAGAAGCAACCTGCAGAGCACTAATACTAAACAATCATGCACATCTGCTCAAAACATTTGATTGTGCACAATGCAAATACCAAGAGGAATCGGACGTTATGGCATCCTTTACAAAACTGAAAAAAAAAAGGAGATAAGATCATACCTGTAAGTTTAAAGGAAAACAAGAATTAAATCTGAGAACTATTTCAAAAATTCCTGTTAGAACTGGATTGTTCCTCCTCCTGAGACAGAGTGCATTCCTATCAGTGAGCCACCAAAGAGGGCAGGGAATTAAAGCACATCTGTTGGCCCTTAACATAAATAAACAAACAAAAATAGGAGTTGATTTTTTTTTCCTACAAAATATTGTGTTTTCTTCATTTTATCTTCCACCTAGGGTCAGAACTTGAAACTGTTACCAGGTTGGAAAAGCCAGATTTGAAATATTTAAGAAAGTGAAGACTCTCCTTGGCTAAAAAAGCAATGCAACCAACTCCTTTTCTGGACTCTACATCCAAATCTGACCCCTGCCCCACCGCCAACTCCCCTGTCACCATCCATGAGTCATGAGGCCAACATCTAGCCTGGTGGTCCTCAGTGAGGTTGCGAGTGCTCCCTCCGGGCCACTGTGGAATCCTGGAACCACTTTTGGTTGTGACAATGATAAGGAGATGCCTCTGGCATGGAATGGCTGGGAGCCAGGAATGTTAGATGTCCCACAATGCCTTGGTCTTGCACAATGAAAACACTGTCCCACACCCCAAAGACTTCCCAAAGTGCCATTAGCCATTTCTGTAGGTGAAATGTACTTAAAATCACTTGAGCATGGAACCGAACTCTGTTTCACATATACATCAACGTATTTTCGCATGGTTTTTATGCACTCTTGGGATGTAAGTGCTGAGTAACTGAGGGAAGACTGTATTTTGTTCTTGTTGGAACTTTACCAAGTGTCTCCCACTATTTTAGAGAACGACGTTGCTGAAGGCCATGCTATTTGAGCTATTAATACAGCATACCTGTATCCTCTCCATTTGCAGTGGTCCCTTTCTATGTATAGGTATATCTGATCACTTCATTATGTCTTCTGGTGTGGTCATGCCTGGGCTTTTACATATTGAAATGTATGTTTTAACATTAACCACATTCGTTGAATTTTCCTTTATATTACAGTAAAGCATGATGCTGACATTTTCAAAATTATGTATTCAAGTAGGTTACATTAATAATGAATTTCAGCTGGACATAGTGGCACATGCCTGTAATCCCAGGACTTTGGGAGGCTGAAGCAGGACGAACGCTTGAGCCCAGGAGTGTAAGGCTACAGAGAGCTATGAGCACACCACTGCACTCCAGCCCGAGTGAAAGAGGGAGACCCTGTCTCTTAAAAAAAGTGTGTGTGTGTGTATATATATGTAATTTTTAATACATAAACATTATATACATTATATATATTTACATATATAAATTATATACACACACACACACACAAAAATTTATAGGAGAGTAAAGCAATCATTAAAATACTGGTCATAATAAGAGGACATTGGTTACGTGGATGACAGGGTAAGAACCACTAATGAACTTGGTGCAAATTCTGTGTGCCGCTGTAAGAAAGAATACTAGGCCAGGACACAGCATATGTGAAATCACTTTGAAAATTGTAAAGGCTTTAATATTTTCTTGTAAGTAAGTCCTGTTGGTTCCATCTTCAAAATGTGTATTTTCTACTTCCTTCCTCTCGATTCCCCAGCCACCATCCTAACCTCGGCTCTCATCCATTCCATTAATTCCTCACTTGTACTAAAGTCAACAACCACTTCTGGGGCCTCGTTGTGTCCTGTCCTTCATGCAATATAAAAATGAGTATGACAAAATGGTTGTCTTTATTTCCACTTTGGCGATTTACTTATATTTTGGCCTCCCAGAATCTTCTCTTGATCTTTACCAACCAACCAAACTCTTCAGGATTTCAGTTTGGTTTCTATCTCCTTCCATGAAATTCCTAAATTATCCAAACCACATCAGTCACATATTCCTGTAAATCACATTATTATTACTGTACATTACCAAATAATTTAGCAATTAATTAACTTGTAAGGTTTTTTTTTCTTCCCTTTCATTTTTATCTCCAGTGCTTTCGTCTTTTCTTCCCACACTATCGCAGTGACCATCTTTTCAACCTGCTTAGAATCCTAGTAAAGTACTAAGTATATATTTAGTAGGAACTAAAATATTTCTCCTGGTTTATTCATTGTTGGGGTCTCAAACTGAGAAAATAAGTTCTCAAACCAAGTAAATGGCACTGAGTAGCTGACTTACAAAGAAATATTAGGCTGTATCCACAATTCTGCACAGCATGCTATTTAAATATACAGTGGGGTCGGCTGAAATAATACATAAACATAACAATATAAGCAATAATAATATAAAATAATTGGAGAACACTTTCTAGCTCCATGAAAGTAGGAACCTTTTCTGTCTTGTTCACTACTTAAAATAGTGCATAGTAGATATTAATAAATAAGCTGAAAGAATAGAGCAATTACAATAGCTAACACTTATTAAGCATCTTCTATATTTCAGATAATGTGCTAAACACCATACTTACATGATCATGTTTAATTCCTGCACAACCTTTGAGATTGGATTTATTATTCTTTATTTTTTTGCATGTGGAAACTGAGGGAGAGAGAATTAGATAACTTCCCTGATGTTATAAAACCAAGTGATGAAGCCACCTGACTGCAGAACTTAAATT